CCCTAGCTGAGCAATATTTCCTTCACATAATAGTATGAAATTAGGCTGCCAGAAATGTGCTGATGTGCTTTTAGGTGACTATCATATTGGACCCTGGATAAATTCAGGGTTCTGGACTATGAAAGGTCACCAGGGACCCTTGGGATTGTATTGTGTGTGTAGGAGGGGCTGTTAATTGGCTCTGTTTTCTTCATTCCATTTATAATGCTGCCTCTGGGCAGCAGACCCCCAGGCATGTGAGGGTGGTGGCTCACAAGCCTGGTGACTGTTCTCTCTGAGATTCAGCTTAAGACGATGAGGGAATGGATGTTCCCTGCACAAATAAAACCACTCTTCTTGCTCCACTCATGGGCCTCTTGCTTTCTCCTCCGGAGTGTGGCCAGGAATGCAGTAATTACAGCTTAAAACATTCAGGAGAAGACATAGTGAAATACATGTTCTATGCTTATGCTACAAAAGTCCGAATGGTAAATATAATATGACCAGAAAACTAATTAGTATCTACACTTTACTGCGAATTCTGGGCAAGGCTTTCATCTTTGGTAATTATCAATGAAGTTGTTACCTTTAAGAGTTACTGGAAGCCAGTAATCACAGGCACAGTGAACGCAGCACAATGAGTAATGATGTCACCGGCATTAAAAAAGTGGTGTAAGGGAATTGTGGAGACAAGAACTGCATGGTTCAATACAAACAGGTTCTTAAGAGTGATGGCATTGTAATAACAACATTACTCCTCTTACTGCAGCGGGGATATGAAATTAGCCAAGAACTGCACATTTGACAATAAAGAACATGAGACAATTTTCTAGGCTTGAGGAAGAGATGGTGCCTATATACTATAAAAAATCTTTATATGCACTGATTGAACAACAAACATACACCTTTTCTCTATTCATTATTCTAAATCTTCACTGACAAACCACTTTACCTTACATGACCCCATAAACTTTATAGCAGATTTTTAAATTAAATTGTTTATATACACAAGGGCCCTGCAAAAGAAATGTTTGCCCTGTAGGAAGCCCTGATCAAAGCAGAGCAGAAACCAAGAAACCAGGAACCATGAGAATAGTATCCTGAACACAGAGGAAATACAGAAATAAAATAAGGAATGGCAAATTCGTTGGATGTGAGTTAGAAAACCACTGACACTACAGCCACCAAAGGTGTGGAAAAGAGAACACATGCAGCAAGTTTAACACAATAGTGAATTGTGTTAAAGTTGACAGGAAATATTTTTTTTAAGACACTGGCTATGAACAAGTGTACTAGCAGGGAGGTAGCATGGAGTATTACATGGTATTAAAAAGAACACTAAGTATAATGGACTCTAAACCACTGAAAAAATTCTTGACTACATAGTGATAGAAGGAAAAGAAAACTCACTCAACACCACTAGTAGAGAAGTATAACACTGACTCTTTACTATTAAAAAAAAAAAAAGACCGGTGTGGCTTAGTTTGTTGGAGTGTTGTCCCCATAAACCAGGTTACCGGTTTGATTCCCTGTAAGTGCACATGCCTGGGTTGTGGGTTTGGTCCCGGTTGGGGAATGTGTGGTTGATTGGTGTTTCTCTCTCACATAGATGTTTCTTTTCCTCTCTTTGCCTTCTCCTCTTTAAATCAATGAGTGAGTCCTTGGGTGAGAATGGGGTTGGGGGGGGAGTAAAAAACAAACAAACAAATGTATCCTTACAATGGAGAGATCTGATGGGCAACACCTTATTTACAGGAAACACTGGGGAATAGAGAGACAAGGTACTACAATGAAGTGAATACATAAATCTAAAATGTAGGATATTCTATAAAACAATGGTCTAACTTTTTCATAAAGTTAATGTGGCAGAGAGTAAGAGTTCTAGAAAAAAGAGAGAGGAGACATAATCATATACCATGGACAAAATCCCAGGTAAACAACATCAACAATTATAAGACAATTAATGACAAGCAGAAAAATTTGAACATGAGCAGAATATTAGATATTGGAGAATTACTATTATTTTTCTTTGATGTGACAATGATATTGTAGTTTTATAGTTAAAATCTTTAAGGAAATTTGTGTTGAAATATTTAGGGATGATATCTGCATCTTAAATTCAAATGGCTCAGCAAAAACTATACAGATCTATACAGATGCATTAAATACATATACACATGCAAAAGGCAAAATGTTAAAAATAACTGAATCTAAGTGGTATGTAGAGATGATATATCATTGCACTCTTTTGTTCTTTTAAGTCTTCTGTGTTTGTAAATTTTCAAAATACAAATTTGGGGAAAGGAAAAAAAAATAGAGTGAGAAGGTAAAGATGAGTGTAATTGATTAACAGTCAAATACTAGAAAGTTCAGCACTAACTAGGTGTGCATCGTTTTCTGAGATTAGAGGAAAGCAGCTGTGGGTGGGTACAGATATAGACAAGTGGGTAGGTGTGGATGCGGGAAGTTGAGGTAATCCCAGCTGATCTCACTCTTCTCCATGAAGGAAGAGGCAAGAAGAGCTGCAGTAGGTTGATGGTATGAAAATGGAGATTTGGAGTAGCTGCTGTGGGGAATGGCAAAGGGAGCTGAACAGAGATAATTAAGGTTTCACAGCTAAAAATTTAGCTGAGGCGCTTCTAAGGACTTGAGTGTCTAGAAACTACTTCTGACTTTTGCTCTTATTACCAATTCAAGCTTATCTTCAATCACAGAACTTACCAGGTACCAATTGTTTACTAGACCACAGGTGGCAAACACAAGGCCCGTGGGCTGAATCCCACCCTCCACCTTGTTTTATCCGGCCCAGCACCTTGTTTCTACTCAGCAGCAGCACCGAGCCTCCCTTAACTGTTAAGGAGTAGTTACGTTTATACAATCCTAAAGTTACATTCAGCCCTTTGAAGGCAATCATGAGACTGATGTGGCCCCTGGTGAAAATGAGTTTGACACCCCTGTACTAGACCCTGATTTCTTCTTTTTTAAATATATTTTATTGACTATGCTATTACAGTTGTCCCATTTCCCTTCCCTTTACTCCCCTTCACCCCTCCTCCCACTACCATTCCCCTCCTTTAGTTCAGGTCCATGGGTCATCCTAAGTCCTTTAGCTTCTACATTTCCCACACCATTCCTGCCCTCCCCCTGTCTATTTTCTACCTACTGTTTATGCTCCTTATTCTCTGTACCTTTTCTTCCTCTCTCCCCCTCCCACTCCCCTGTTGATAACCCTCCATGTGATCTCCATTTCTGTGGTTCTGTTCCTGTTCTAGTTGTTTGCTTAGTTTGTTTTTGTTTTAGGTGTGGTTGTTAATAACTGAGTTTGCTGTCATTTTACTGTACATGTTATCTTCTTTTTCTTAGATAAATCCCTTTAACATTTCATATAATAAGGGCTTGGTGATGATGAACTCCTTTAACTTGACCTTATCTAAGAAGCACTTTATCTGCCCTTCCATTCTAAATGAAAGTTTTGCTGGATAGAGCAATCTAGGATGCAGGTCCTTGCCTTTCATGACTTGGAATACTTCCCAGCCCCTTCTTGCCTGCAAGGTCTCTTTTGAGAAATCAACTGACAGTCTTATGGGAACTCCTTTGTAGGTAACTGTCTTTTCTCTTACTCCTTCTAAGATTCTCTCCTTATTTTTAATCTTGGGTAATGTAATTATGATGTGCCTTAGGGTGTTCCTCCTGTGGTCCAACTTCTTTGGGACCCTGAGCTTCCTGGACTTCCTGGACATCTATTTCCTTTGCCTGATTGTGGAAGTTCTCCTTTATTATTTTTTCAAATAAGTTTTCAATGTTTTGCTCTTCCTCGTCTTCTTCTGGTACCCCTATGATTTGGATGTTGGAATGTTTAGAGATGTCCTGGAGGTTCCTAAGCTTCTCCTCATTTTTTTGATTTCTTGTTTCTTCATTCTGTTCTGGTTGAATGTTTCTTTCTTCCTTCTGGTCCACCCCATTGATTTGAGTCCCAGTTTCCTTCCCATCACTATTGGTTCTCTATACATTTTCCTTTATTTCACTTAGCATAGCCTTCATTTTTTTCATCTAATTTGTGACCAAATTCAACCAATTCTGTGAGCATCCTGATTACCAGTATTTTGAACTGTGCATCTAATAGGTTGGCTACCTCTTCATCACTTAGTTGTATTTTTTCTGGAGCTTTGATCTGTTCTTTTATTTGGACCATTTTTTTTTTTTGTCTCAGCACACCTGCTTTGAATAAGGGGCAGAACCTTAAGTGTGCACCGGGGCGGGGCAACCCTCATCACGGTTTTGTGACACTGTATGCAGGGAAGGGGTCAAGAGGAAACAATGCCACTTGGTCCACTCTCTGCCAGATTTCAGTCACTTCCCCCACTACCCACAAGCAAAGTAGGCTTTTCTGGTGGTGATTCCCGGGTGGGTTGGCTTGTGTACATTCTAAGACCCTGTGGGTCTCTCCAGTGGAGTCTCCTGTGAGGCTGGGAATTTCTCCTGCTGTTGCCTTAACCCCCACAGGTGTTTTCAATCTGTGGTTTGAGGCTTTATTTCCCCTCACTGGGACCCTGGGTTGTGAGGGCTATCCCGTTCTCCAGGTGTTCCTCCCGGTTTATCTGCACATGAATGTGGGACTGCCTGCTCCATGAGCTGCCGCTCTGCCCACCCTGCTCCACAATCCACCACTTCACTGGGTCCTCTCTGCCTGGTTGCCCATCTCTGCCCCTCCTACCGGTCTGAATGAACGTGTCTTCTTTAACTGCTTGGTTGTCAGGCATCCATATAGTTCAATTTTCTGGCAGTTCTGGTTGTTTTTTGTTTTTAAATTGTTGTTGTCCTTCTTTCGGTTGTGCGAGGAGGCATACTGTGTCTACCTATGCCTCCATCTTGGCCAGAAGTCTAGACCCTGAGTGTCTTGAGGGAAGAGGCTTGGCTTTCATCTTTGTGTCCCCAGCACTTAGAATGTAGGAAGCACATGGTGAATATTTATTAAATAAAATAGTGACAGTTTCACACTTAGCTCCAAATAGTATGTTTTTATTGACCCTTCTTCTTATCCCCAGCCCAGATTTTGCTGGGTTAACTGCTTCTCTATCACAATCTTACAGCAACATAAATGTTTGTAATACCCACTAAAAACCTCTTTCATTGCATTTTCTGCACTGTAATGAAATTGTCTGTAGTATGTGTTTTCCTCAGTAGAACAAAATCTTTTGAGATCAGTAATCTTATAGCTTGGTATCACAAACTTGACACAGCAGTTGGTCTAACATAACAGGTATTTTCTGAGCTGAACTGAGCTGAATAGTTAGTGAAGATTTTTAAGTTTTGCTTCACAAAGTCTTTATTTCTGAATGTACATGTGAGTTTAACAAATTTTAACACACAAAACTAACAATATTACTAAAGTAAGTTAAGAATATAAAGTGCCAAATTATCTGAATCAGAGTATTCTGGATAAAACACAGGAAAACAACTGCTCTACAAACCTTTTAAAAGACACAACAGCACCTCTTTTCTATTCGTGTCTCTTTCAAGGGTTAAAAATATTAAGAATGCTTTCCATGACAGTGGAGGTAAAAGTTTCCAAACAGACTTATCTTTAAAACTTCAGCCATTGGGGTAAGGTGACATTTTATGAAAACAGTTCAGGAGACCAAGCGCTTTTAGCTTCAGGCACTGAAGGTGGCCCATTTTCTGAAAATGAAAGGCAACATCTGACTTCTGAACAAGAACCAAGTCCCAAAACTGACCCTTTGGAAATCCACCCTGAGTGTGTACTATTATAGTTAGGAGTTTTCTGGTTTGTAACTACAGCTGTAAACATATTCTTTAAATTTAATTCCTTCTTAATTAAACATTTATTGGTTCTTTTTTTGATATGACTCAGTTTCTTTCTGGGTAATGCATTTTGATTGGGAGAATTACAGGCAGCAGGGCATTTCCTTAGACCCATGATTTGGAATCCAAGCCCATCTGAAAGAAGTACTTTTTTTGTGGTAGGAGGGACCCATTCATCAATGTCAGGTTCAAGACACTCAGCAACAGGACAGTTTTTGAAAACCTCTGGTTGTGTAATACTAGATATAACAGGGCTTCTGGACATCTGACTGGGTGTTTTCATATTTTTTGGACAGCTGGGAGTGGCTTGCTGTGCCTCATTTTCAGAGGAAATTCTTGGTTTTTTATAGTTAGCATCAAGATCTGAACAAAAGGCAAGTAATTTCTTGAAATCTCCTTTCCTCCCATGAACTCTTGTTTGGTGGAATCCTGCAATAGGAGTTGACTGTGAACATGGAACAAAGTCTTGGCTATCTTCAAAATCACTTTCTAAATCTGATGGAAAATGTGAAGGGCATGTTTTGGGGTACATGGAGGCAGGCATGTTTTGCGAGGACAATTTTTGTGATGATTGGCAGGAGTTTTCAGAAAGTGATCTCAGTGAAGAATCAGGTTCTGTATGATGACTTTCAGACAGAGGCTGTCCCCATTGTAACAGAATATCCTGTGATTTTTTGGTGATCTCTGTTGCAATGTCCATTTCTTTCGCACTATCATTAAAGAGATCAGCAGAAGCATTGTAGCTACCTTCATGACCAGAAAAATACTCTTGTGTTATATTATCGATATGTCCATAAGGCATTTCTTTCAATGTATTTGTACTTCTCTTTGGACTGCTGCAGGGCGCTTCTAAGGGATATGTAAGTTTCCTGCAAATTGTAAGACCATCACCTTGGTTCTCTGGCCACCTACTATATTGTTTATTTTCTAAGTTGCAAAGGTCGGAAACATCATTATACCTCCTAGCACACAAAGTGGTCAACTTCTCACTTGTTTCCAGAAGTGATTCCTCTCCACATCCATTAAAATATTTGATATTGAAGTAAGAATGGTCACTCTCTAAAGTACTGCATGTAACTGAAATTGCAGCCCTATGTGGTGGAATTCTGGTAGAATTTGTAAGAGATGATGTTCCTAAACCTTTTGAAGATGGAAACAGAGCTGACGGACCAGTGCTTGACAAGAAATTTTGAGAAATATCTCTTCCACCTCTACTTATAGAGATAGCCTCTGCTGGGTTACGTGGTTTTGACTCTTTTTGAACACTACGAGTTGGATTTGCTTCAGAATTGGACAAGAAGTTATCTTTGCCAGAGTTTGTTTTGACCTTTGCTTGCGATGATCCTAAAGCTATGGGTGGGGTATGCAAGGGTCCCGTAGTTCTCTGGGGAGTCACAGATAAACTGCTGTGGTCTGCACATAATTTATCAATGCCATTGTCTAGACAACATTTCCTACTGCTGGCATCTGTCTGGGTTACAGCAATCTCACTTTCAATAACTGCCAGAAACTTGTTTAAGCTTTCAGAGAATGGCAGATCATCCCAGATCTTGGGGTCATCATCTGGGGAGCCACCAGCTATCTCTTCAGGTCTGAGCGATAACAGTGGACAACATGTAGGTCTTTCCTGAAGGCTCAGCAGGGTATTGACATCTTGATGCTGGTGACATGTTAGTTCATGCAGAGAATACCTGTTTTCAATTTCCAGTGCACTATGGAAGGATTTTGTATTACTTGGCTCACAAGGTTCTTGCATTTTCAAAGGGAATAAATTAGAGCCAGTAACTGCAATATCATGCTGACTGCTCTGAACTGCATTTGGCTGATTAGCTTGTAGGTCAAGTTCTTCACCCAGCTTTTGCGCTGTACTCTTTTGATTCATATAGGAAACAAGACTCCATGAACACTGAATGGCTTCATGGTAACCACTGGAACCAGTAGCCTCTGCCAAGGAAATGCACTCTCTATTCTGGTAAAGAGTGTCAACAACCTTGCTTTGATGTGAAGCTGAAAAGTTAGCATCCTCTGTTGGCTGTGAAACAACAGAAGTAAGTTCAAGTGATGGTTGCCAGAGTAGTAAAAAAGTATCTTTGCCATTAGACTCAAAAGAACAAGAACTGCTGTCAGGGCCACATATGCTGCTGAGATCACTACTTGAGTGACTACTAGGTGTCTGGGAGCCACTGTGAAGTTTCTTGAAATCAGAAAGCCGCAAAAGCTGCCGGAAATAGTCCATGACCGTGAAGCCTGCAACACCCGGGTCTGGTAGGACCATCTGGCAAGCTACTAGCTCTTTAATGTCTCTCCTGTCGTCAGGGCACTGTTCTAAGGAGTTCCTGGAATCTGAACCTCGCCCATGTTGGTTTTCAAAATTCTGTGAAAGAATAAGTTTAAATGAGAATAAAATCATCTTTCTTTGACTAGATTATGAAACAAAGATTTAAATTAACTTCAATTTCTCTAGTGTTACAGGCACAGCTGTGTAAGTAGGAGAAGTAAACCTTGGGATAAAGAGACTCGTATTTAAATCCTGGTTCTGACATTTATTTGTGTTGTGACTTTGGACAACTTATTTAACCTTACTGAGTCTTAGTTTTTTTTCATTTCTAAAATAAATATTAAAATGCAGGATTATTATATTTGCAATAATATGGAAAACTGCAGTGCTTAGCAAATAGTAGTTGCTCAATAAATGTAGCTATTATATAATAGTTCTCATTAGCTTCCATAAACTTTGAGTGCTTAAGGGAATATCCTCACTTGTTTAAAAAAGAAAAAAAGATAAAGAGCCATCTCAGCTTTTTTTTTTTTTAAGAAACCTCTTTAGCTCCTGGTTTCACCTTCCCTGTGGGTCTTTCTTTACTGTTCAGTTACAGAGTGCTTCATTCCTGTTTTTAAAACCCCAACTGCAATGTGGATAAAATTTCCATCTGTTTCCACTAGCACAGATGAGACAGGAAACCATCATTACTTCAGAGTCAGTACATTCTTTTTAACTTCTATCATCACTTTTATAATTATTTAAGACCGACCTATTCTTAGAGTTACCAATATGCAGATAAACAAATATCTAACACTTCTGAATTTATATAAATTTAGATTTTAAAGCTCTGAAAACATTTAAACTTGGCTCTTCTGACTTTTGAAAGAAGATGTCATACATGGTGTTTAATAGCTCACCTACAGCCTGTTTTTATAGTCCGTAGTACTATAGGCTCCCACAGTTATGACTCCTAAAAACATTTTAGAGAATGCAAATGATTTCATTAAAATGAAATGTCAACAGAATACAAAAAAGAAAGCTGGTCTCCATTACCGTCACTCCAAATATAAAGCTCTGTCCAACAAAGCAAGTTTCAACTGCTTTGGTTAATAGGTTCTGAGTTGAATCACTATCCAGTGTTCCTGGGATTTCATTAGGATCCTGGATGTATCTATCAGAAAGAAAAGAAAACATGTGAGGAGATAAACTTTGAAATTTTAACTGAACAATTAGTTTGAAAATGCAGCATGAACCTTTTGAATTACATATTTAGGCATTTCTTCTCTCTAGTTTCCCACAGCTAGAGAGACACAAACAACTGATCAATTATAAATTGAGTGGATGCCTGCCTAGCCATCAGGCCCAGCAATTTTTCTAAAAGTAGCAGTGGAAGCAGTGGTGGGATCTCTAGCCCTTCTCCTCAAAGCAGAGGGGAGTCTTGCCTCTTCCCTGGCAATCGTGGCCCTGGTGCCCCTGCTGTCCCTTTGGTCAAATGAGTTTGCTCTGCACAGGAAGGAGACAGACATTTCTTCTGTCAAGGACTGCGGGAGGAGGAGAGAAGATTGAAGGGGAGAAAGAGCTTCAGGTGCCTAGACATACCCTTGCATTCTCAGGCCATCATCCTGGCAGGGCAAACCGTGCAGGTGAAGTGGTCAGGCAACTGAGAGAAGGGACCGAATTTCAACTTCTGATGTGCAAATGCTCCCTCCCAAAGACAGCTTCTGCCTAAAGGGACTTTAGCCACTTGAGTGTTAACCTCAATTTGGGTAATCCTTCAGTTTGAAACAATTTTCCTGTCTCATTCTATGTTCTCTAACTTGGATTAAAGTTTTGTAATTTTATATTCTAATTACAACTTAGTTGGCCTGAATAAAAGGAGCCCAGTTTACCATTATCACAATATGTATACAGGAAATAAATATTTCTTGATTATCTTTTAAAGTAACTGATGATCTGAGGTTGAGTGGTCATCTTTTTACCAAATACATATTACCTTAAAAACACATATCTTCAGCCTTGACTGGTGTAGCTCAGTGGGTTGGGCACTGTCCTGCAAAGTAGGTTAGGCATTGTCTGTCCTGCAAACTGAAAGGTCGCAGTTTTGGTTCCTGGTTGGGACACATGCCAGGGTTGTGAGCCAGGTCCTCTGCTGGGGGTGTGCTAGAGGCAACTGATAGATGTTTCTCTCCCTTTCCTTCTCCCTCCCTTCCCCTCTCTCTAATAATAAATAAAATCTTTAAAAAAAACCCCACACATCTTTAAATTTTGTTAATATACTATACTAAAGAAGTAGCTAGGAAAGAGAATGCTTTAAATGACCTTACCTGTGTAAATCAGTGGCTGCAAGACCAAAAAATGTATCTAAACAGCTTCCGAAAACAGTAACAGCAAATAATTTGTTTGATTCTGCAACTTTTATGGAAAGCTTGTATCTATAACTGGCATTTTCAGCTTCACCAGCAGAACCACATTTTGGACAATTAGACCTGGAAAAATGGAAAAAAAAATAGAAATGCTCATTAAATTTTTTTATACAGTGAACAAATTTGGAAAAATAAAAATTAAAAATAACATTGTATATATAAATGTTCCTATACAATTTACATTGTTCTTAAACTATTTCATACCAATCAATCTCTTTTGAATTTCTTTATTCATAGCAGCTACCTTCACCAACTTAAATTAAATAGTGCCAAACTGACAGGAAGGTGAAGGATAACTCTGTGTGTGTGTGCACACATGCATGGGGGCATCATGGGGGGAGAGGCAGATGTTCTTACTCGGTAGCTAAATCACGAACAAAGTGAGGCATGCTATATCCTGGGGTTGGGGGAGGTGAGGAAACTAAATATAATGAAGTAAATACCACACCAACAGAAAACCTAAAAATTGATGTTTATCTTCTATTAAAAAATAATAATCTTGAAACAGTTTATAAGAATAACTTAACTTTCTTTAATGTACTGGAACATACTAAGAATTTATTAGATTACAAAAAGTTAGGTACAAAACATCTTATTTAACTTGTTTTTAAGGCAACATGTAATTATGACCAGTGTATATCAAGTGTAACTCTACTGTCATGTACTAAATGTCTGGTCTGGAGATAGTTACTAAATCCCTTAAACCTTAATTTCCTCATCTATAAAATTCAAGGTTGAAGAATAAAAGGACACAAAGTAAAAGAAAAGAAAGTAAAGAAATAATCCATTGCAGATCTTGCCAATTAATAAGTGTTAGTCTGCTTCTCTCTTATAATCTTACCCAAATCTGCTAGAGTTTGTGCTGTAGTTTGGCCATAAATATAGCTTCTTTAAAAGGTATGTATTAATAAAACATTCAAGTGTAATGTAAAAATCTTAGCAAATCTTAGACTAGTCAATCGGCATCAGATTTTTGCAGTTTATAAACATTTGCAACATACGTTATTTCATTATTACAGGTAAGCAAGGCCATTTATTCCCATTTACATATAGGGCAATTTGGGTAAATTTTTGCCCAAGGTGACAAAGTTAGTGAACTTTATAACCCAAATTCAAGGCTTTGGATTTCTAGCCAAATGTTTCTTGTATAGTGTCTTATGATAACTATAAAAATAAGATTAATAATGAACCGTCTTGCAAATAGTATCAGTGATAGCCTAACAAAAATTAGGTTTACTAGTATGAATGCATATGAACACTAAATTATATATATAGTTTATTATTATTTTTTAATTCTAACCCAAGGATATATTTTTATTGATTTTAGAGAGAGAGGAAGGGGGGAGAGAGAGAAAAACATCAATGTGACAGACTGACATTGGTTGGTTGCCTCCCATTCACATCCCATACACACGAGCAGGGCTCAGGCCTGCAACCTAGGTTGTGCCTGGACCAGGGATGTAACTTGAAATCTTTTTCGTAAAAGGGACAGTACTCCAACCAACTGAACCACCTGACCAAAGCTAAATCATATATTGTTTTATGTAATATTTGTATAATGAAGATATTTCTGTATAGTTTTCTTTAATCCTTTGGGAATAAGGCTGGACTGAAATAAATGTTAGTATGGAGTGATACACATCAGAGCTTGAACTTTTTAAAAAGTCTTCACCAGAGGATATGTTTTTTGATTTTAGAGAGACAAGAAGGGGGAGGGAGGGAGAAGAAAGGAAGGAGGGAGAGAAAAATAGAGACAGACAGAGACATAGAGAAACACTAATGTGAGAAAGAAACATCAACCGGTTGCCTCCCATAAGTGCTCTGACCTGGGATGAACCGGTATCCATTTTTTTTTTTTTTTAGTGTTGGGGTGATGCTCCAACCAACTGAACCACACCCAGCCAAAACTAGGGCTTGAACTTTGATATGCATACTAATCACCCGGGATCTTGTTAAAATGAAGATTCTGATTCAATAAGTCTGTGTCAAGGCCCAAGACCCTGCATTCCTAACAAGCTCCCAGGTGATATGGATGCAGCTGCACCCCTGACCACACTATGGGAAGCAAGGGTAGAGACAACACATTCAAATTATAATTCTCTGATTTAACTTTTAGAAACACCCTTATTTCCAAAATGTCGTTTGTTATGGAATGGCAGTTTTCAAACTGTATATGCTTAAAAATTATTGAGAAAAAGGAGAGGTTTTGTTTATGTGAGTAATCTCTACTTATATTTTAAACTGATTATGAGGATTAAATGAAAAATTAAAATAAATCTGAAAAGTATTATTTCATTAAAAATAAAGAGACTCATTACATGGTTAACAGAAAGAACATAGTTTTATAAATATGTGTCCCTCAAAAACAATTAGTGAGAAGAGTGGCATTGTTTTACATTTGCAAATCTCTGTAATGTTTGGTTTAATAAAGCAGAATTCTATTTCCCTTTCTGCTCAGTCTGTGGTGACGTCACGTGTCACGCAGTCTCTCGAAAACCCCTCTCTGCATTCACAAGAGAATGAGAGTGAGAAGGGGGATAATGCCTTAGGGTTATGAAAATGGTTTTAATCTCAAAAAGCCTCTGACAAGATCTAAAATAATACCTGAAATTGGCTACGTTTTTGTGATACCACTTAAAACAGCAAGTTTCATTTGTTTACTTTTCTAATGTAGCTGTAGATATTCCTGAAGTAGGAGCAGTGGTGAGATTAGTGATTCTTAGTGTTGCCTTGGTCTTGAAACTCTCTGAAAGTCTGATGACAGCAAGGGACTCTTCCCCAGAAAAACGCACACATAACCAGAACACTTGATACTTTACATATTTTCGGGACTGGCAGATTCATATACATCTGTAGAGTATCCACAGACTCCAGGGTTAAGAATCCTAGTCTAGATAATCAAATAACATCCCTTCCAAATTTGTAGTCCCATATTAAATTGAATGTATACAATGTAATAAAAATATATTTTAAAAAATGTATATTTAATGGAAACAACTCAAGAACCCATCAATACAAAAGTGGATAAAAAAGCTGTGGTGGGAAAAATACACATGGGGCAAATGTAGGTTTACAATGGTAATAGAAATAAATAATACAATAAATAATAATATAAGAAGAATCTGTGTTTCATATACTTCTGCCAACCTACTTTGCCAACACCATATAATGGAATACTACTCAGCCACACAAAAGAATGAAATCCATTTGTGACAATATGGATGGACCTAGAGGGTATTATGCTAAATGAAAGACATTTAGCATAAATGTGAGAGAGATACAAATACCAGATGATTACAGTTACATGTGGAATCTAAAGAACAATATAAATGAGCAAAACAAACAGGAACAGACTCATAGATACAGAGAACAGACTGATGGTAGCCAGAGGGGAGGAATGTTGGGGGACTGGTTGAAAAAAGGTGAAGGGATTAAAAAGTACAAATGGGTAGTTACAAAACAGTCACAGGAATGTAAAGTAGAGCATAGGAAATACAGTCAATAATACTGCAATAACTCTGTATGGTGCCAGATGGGTGCTGGAAATATCAGAGGGGACACTTTGTAAAGTACATGATTGGCTAACCACTATGCGATACACCTGAACCTCTGAAACTACTACAAAATAATACTGATTATAAACTGTAATTGAAAACCAAAAAACAAAAAACAAAAAACAAAACAAAACCCAAACAAACATGTACCTTTGGCCCTGCCTGGATTGATTAGAGCATTGTCCCAATACACCAAGGTTGCAGGTTATATCCCTGGTGAAGGCACATACAACAATCAGCCAATGAAGGCATAAATAAGTAAAACAACAAAAATCGATCTCTCTCTCTCTCCCTTCTCTGCACTCTCTTAAATCAGTAAGTTAAAAAAAAAGTATGTTTAAGGCTTTTCATATCACTTTCTCCCAAAAGGAGAAAACTACAACTGATGTACGTGAAATTCGGTTTGACTTGTGTAGTGAATGACACAAACATTTTGGGTGGTTGAGGGGGCAGGAGGGACAGGAGAGGATGGGTAGATAGTCTCTGAGCTATGATTCACATTTTGAAACAGGAAAACAAAGTTCTTAGTATCAGAGACAAATTTCTAGACTAAAGAAACAATGGGTCCCATTAAGTAACCTAGAAGGGCAAATCACATCTGTTTGGGCTGGGATAGCTCATCTAAATAAATAAGTACCATTCCTTGCTCATAATTTTTGGAAGAGTACACACATACACACACACACACATTATAAAAATAAAGTTAATTTGGTCTTTCATATCAAAAGATTATCATATTCACATATAGGTACATATATAGGTATATATACACTTATGTACGTAAACATGATAATCTTATATGAACAATCAAACTTTTCTATATATATTTCTCATACTTGTATGTCTATGTGTCTGTATCTTTATATACATCATGGAACCTTTCAAATGAAATCATGAAACCCTAATACAAGGATGAGAATGGAGCCCTCGTTCCAACTACGGTGGGGCCCAGAGCCCATCCTGCTTGCCAGCACTATCCACTGCCCCCTCTCCGGTCCCCACCTCCCTCCAGAAGCATGGAGACCTAAGGCTCTGCTGAATGTAATGTGAAAACCGCCACTGCTCCAAATCCTGGAGGTTAAAAAAAGAAAAGAGTGAAGCCCATCAAATAGGAAACCAAAGAAAAACTTTAGGCAGCAGTCTTTTTGCTCTTCGGTGTCTCTCAAGTCTCCTGTCAAGGCTGGAATACGGGATTCCTCAGCCACAAACTTGCGGTGCTGTGGCAGTGGGGAAATCAAAGTGGGGGGGATTTCTGCTTCCTGCACAGGCTTGCAGCTCACTCGCATTTCCTCTCTCATGCTTACAGGCTTTACTTGTACCTTTTGGAGACTAGGATTATCCGAGAGAAGCACTTTTGACATGAAGGGTAGATGAAACTTGAATTATGGAGAGCAAGAACCGAGGCAAGAAGAAATTTTCTTCTTCTATTCATGTGCTCACATGGCAGCCTGCAAAACAGAACAGTCACCGGGTGATGGCCAATCCTTAGCTGCAGGGGCACAGCTCCTTCACCTCCACTGCAAAGCCGACAGATGTCCGTGGTAGTGAATGTCCATGTACTGGAAAAGCAATTTTCTCTTCATGCTTAAGTAAAAGTATTAATACAAAGAAAATACGATTAAAAATAAACAGTTCAAACAAACCTACCATCTCTGAACAAACACTCCATCTTCATAATTCAGGAAAAGTGTCATTAGCTTCTTTCACATCTTTATAAGAAAACCTGACTTCCAGCATGATGGAGGCATAGGTGGACACACCGTACCTCCACACAAAACCAAGATTAGAACAACAACGATTTAGAGGCAGAATAACACCCAGAACTGAGAGAGAATTTATCTGAATGGAAGTCGGACAGCCAAGAAGTTGAAGTAGGCCCATTCATCCAGACTGATAGGAGGGGCAGAGAGGAGCAGCGCAGGGTGGGTTGTGGTGCGAGGAGAACAGGGAGAACTGGGCACATAGGGCAACCGGGAGCACTTAAGGCATCTGGGGCACACAAGATCGCAGCGGGTGGACACTGAGTACGCAAGTGGCAGCTGGGAGACCCAGTGAGGCGGCGATTGTGGACCAGGGCAGAGTGCGCAACCCAAGATCCCAGAGAAGGGAGCTACCGTCATTGTTCCCTCCCGCCCCCACATACAACGTCACAATCTAGGGAGTGGGGTGCCCAGCCCCGGTGAACACCTAAGGCTCCGCTCCTCACCGTAACAGGAGCAACCAGACCAAAAAAAGAGAGAGAGAGAGAGATGGCTCAAACAGAAGAACAAATCAGTGTCCCAGAACTCATCCTTTTGAGCAACCAAGAGATAGCCAATCTATCAGATGCACAGTTCAAAACACTGGTGATCAGGAAGCTCACAGAATTGGTTGATTTTGGGTGCAAATTAGATGAAAAAAATGCAGGTTACCATAAAAGAGATGAAGGAAGATGCACGGAGAACCAATAGTGATGGGAAGGAAACTGGGACTCAAAACAATAGAGTGGACCAGAAGGAAGAAAGAAACAACCAAACAGGAAAGAATGGAGAAATAAGAATTCAAAAAAACGAGGAGAAGCTTAGGAACTTCCAGGACATCTTTAAACGTTCCAACATTCAAATTATAGGGGTACCAGAAGGGGAAGAGGAAAACAACAGATTGAACACGTATTTGAACAAATAATAAAGGAGAACTTCCCCATTCTGGCAAAGGAAATTGACTTCCAGGAAGTCCAGGAAGCTCAGAGAGTCCCAAAGAAGTTGGACCCAAGAAGAAACACACCAAGGCACATCATAATTACATTAGCCAAGGTAAAAATGAAGGAGAGAATCCTAGAAGCAGCAAGAGATAAGGGGAACAGTCACCTACAAAGGAGTTCCCATCAGACTGTCAGCTGATTTCTCCAAAGAGACCTTGCAGGCAAGAAGGGGCTGGAAAGAAATATTCCAAGTCATGAAAGACAAGGACCTATATCCCAGATTACTCTATCCAGCAAAGCTTTCATTTAGAATGGAAGGGCAGATAAAGTGCTTCTCAGATAAGGTCAATTTAAAGGAGTTCATCATCACTAAGCCCTTATTTTATGAAATGTTAAAGGGGCTTATCTAAGAAAAGAAGATAAAGAAAAAACATGTATAGTAAAAGGACAGCAAACTCACAATTATTAACAACCATACCTAAAGCGAAAACAAAAGAAACTAAGCAAACAAGTAGAACAGGAACAGAACCACAGAAATGGAGATTACATGGATGGTTAGCAACAGGGGAGTGGGAGGAGGAGAGAGGGGGGAAAAGGTATAGAGAATAAGTATCGTGGATTGTAGGTTGAAAATAGACAGGGAAAGGGTAAGAATAGTATGAGAAATGTAGAAGCTAAAGAACTTATAAATATGACACATGGATATGACTAAAGGGGGGATATGGGTGGGAGAGGGTGTACAGGGTGGATGGGAGTGAAGGGGGGAAAATGGGACAACTGTAATAGCATAATCAATAAAATATATATAAAAAAAGAAAACCTACACAGAACCTGTTTCTACCATTAATAGGAAGAAACTTAAATGAACCTATGTGACTCTTTAGAGAACTTAATTGGTGGAAAATGGTCCTTTCTAGCTGAAAAAATAACTTTATTAAATATCAGTGTGCACAGTTTTACACAGCTTTAAAGAGAATACAAGGCAATTCATATTTTGCAAACAGAGGAAACAAAATGTTATATGGTGAAAGGAGAGGTCCAAGTGCTTTAAAAAGACGCTTGTATAAAACATCAGAGAAGTAAAACCACAGAATAGCAATGGTCTCCTCTTTTATACTTTAGAAATGTTTAAATGTTGCTCTGTTTACCAACATTTAAAAACTGATTAGCTTAAATATAGTATAAAACAAATGTACACGTTCAAGATAAAACTCTATCAATATGTTCTCATTTGCACATTCATGGCAAAAGTTTTCAGTTTCTGAACCTGAGTGGAACTGTTTCTGAGACTGGCACCCTCGAATTTTGACAAAGTGGAAGTCACAGGTTAAAAATCATCATAGAATCTTTCAGGCACAGGTGTCCACAAGATACTGAGAAACTTAGAAACATGACGATGGAAGGGAGATCTTGGAAGAGATACTAACCCTGTCTGTCAATCACAATGACATTTCTGTTAAAGTAAAATCTTACCACCTAAACAGTAAGATGAAAACTTATGAAGATGAAAGATAAACAGATTTATATAAATCATTGTGTTACATTATTAAAGGAAGCATAGAAAAAAGCTCTTACTGCCTAATTCTTTGTTGTTATCCTTATTTTCGGATCCTTAAATATATAAGATTAGTAAGGCTGTACCAAATGCAGGTATGTAGTCCTAGGTTCAGTTTGCATCTTAGGCCACATAGCAATCTCTAAGGACAAGGTAGAGAAGGTGACAGAGGATCAAGACACAGGCAGAAAGAAGGGTCACAGGAAAAAGCACCTGCTCTCTGCAACCCCTCTAAAATCCAGTTTAGGGTAGGGGTTTAACACGATGGTACTACCTGTGAGCCAGGGGATAAAATGGGGCAAAGCTCCCTCCTGAAAATCTCTTACCTGCTTAAAATCCTGCTATTACAATAAAGCCTCAATCCCTAACAATGGCCTATGAGGCCCTGGGTCATTTAGCTCCTAGTACTTGACCTCACTTTGATCACTGAACTTCAAACGTCAAATGCACCAAATGATTTCCCTTCTCAGGCTTTGGAGCTTCCTTTCTCTGTGTCTACCAGGCTCTTCCCTTTGTTCTTCAAATAGTTGGTTCATTCTCATCTTTCAGTTTTTAACTCTAACGTCACCTGCTTCAGAGAGCCCCACTTTATCTCAGGTGGACCTGTTAGTGTCTGTGATATACATCACCCATTTTATTTCCTCGTGGTACTAACCATGCTCATGATATAAGCAATGAGGAGCATGCATACACCCTGCATATGCCCTTGCTTACTTATTTTTGCTTGTTCTTCCCACACTGGCCTGACAGTCTCATGAAGATAGGGCCCTGGTCTATCCTGTGCTCGACTGTACCCCCAGTGCTTAGCACGTAGTCAGTTCTTTATGAATAGTCAGTGAATAAATGAAAAACTATAAGCAGAATCAGGCAATTTAAGAAAAATTTTATAACAGGGTAGGTATAGGCTATATAATAGGATTTTCCTTTTTTTCATTGAAAGCCCCTTCAAAAAGCTTTTCTCTATTAAGAAAAAGAACAGCTTTTCTTTTTCCCCACATCTTATACTACTGTACATAGACTTCCCATGTTTTCTTTGTCTCTTCTATTCCATTTGGTTTTATTCTTCCTAATGCCTTTTCTCGAGTCTCTCCTCCTGGTTCTTTATGTGCTAGTAATTTATGTTAGAGAATGCACCAAAGTAATCCGAGTTGTGCTCCTTGTTCCCTCCTCCACCCCTAAATATCCCCCTACCACAGTGTTTCACAATTCTTTGCCTTTTTCCACTCTTCCTTCTGTCTACAAAGTTCTCTCACTCTCCTGGCTAATGCTTATTCTTCTTTAAACTTCTTTTCAGGGGTCTTCTTCTCCAGGAAGCTACCCCAGGTTAAATGACCCTACTTTTTAATTTAGCACTTACTGAATTATAGTTAACTTGTTTAATAAATGTTTTTTTGGGGGAACCAGAGTAAAATCTTAGGACCATCATTTTAGATTTCCAGTGCCCAGCTGAAAAGTTGACAATCTGAACTTCAGCTGTTAACTTTTTTCCTGATTTTCAGGTTTCCTTTTTGTCAGTTCTGCCATATACCATTAAATATAAAACAGCCCTGGCTGGTGTGGCTCAATGAATTGAGTACCGGCCTGCAAATGAAAGGGTCACCGGTTCGATTCCCAGTCAGGCACATGCCTGGGTTGCAGGCCAGGTCCCCAGCTGGGGACATTAGAGTGGCAATCACCACACATTGATGTTTCTCTCCTCCTCTTACCCTCTCTCTAAAAATAAATAAATCTTTAAAAAATACACATATAAAATACCATTTTACCAAATCACAAAATAATTTTATCTATGTATATACATTGGAGTGCACAGAGTAGTTTCATATATAGTACTTTATTTAAAATGTATTTTAATTATTATTTACAATTTATCCTCATTTCCAATTTACTTTCTTAATTGAGATCATATGAGCTGGGGTTATCTTATTCATGTTTCTAAAATAAAATTTTATATTGTACCAAACTATACTGGCATTCATCAAATCATATTCTTCACAAAACTGTTATCAAATTAAAACTTTAGGGCAAGGATTAAACCTGCATCATGACTAGGACACTGTGCCAAGTGTTGGGAAATTTTAAAAATACGACACTTCCTATCCTAAAATGTTCCCTGTTTATTTGGGCAGACAACTTACCAATAAATGAAAAACATACAAACAGAAATATTTGGAAATTAATTTCTAAATTAATTGTACAAGAATTGCTGTATTTTT